CACATGCTCGGATCTGGGCCTGGACCCACGAGGCGCCAGGGTCTGTGGATGCTCCGATCTTCCAGGAAAATGACGGAGGGTTAACATCATCTCTGTGGGCTTCCTAATACATTTTATAAGTCTCGTGCCTAACTTTATAGAGAGTCATCTATGCTCTTAATCCTGTTCTAGTAAATCCTACTTAAACATTTAATAATGGTAATTCAAAGTATATGAGTTTGATCTTCATTATTAGCCATTAAAATATTTTAAAAACTCATGAAGATTTTAAAGTAACATTTTACTCCCCAGACAACCATGTGTCTGCCTGACCTTCTTAACCAGTTATTAACTGGTCTTTCTTTTGTGCTCCAATAATCTCTTGCACTCACTAATTATAGTGTTTTCTTCATTGTATTGTTTTTATAACTGGCCTGTAACTGCATATATTTGCTCAACAGAATATTTCTTTATAAGTCCAGTAGTGTAAGCTGGCTGGAGGGTGGTGCGCTGAGAATAGACCGGTTAAGATACAGTCTCCTTCTTTGACGCCAGGAGATCGTCATTGCTTACCTGCTGCGGTGCGAAGCCCTGGGGAGGGTGGGGCACCTCCGTGCACCCTGGATACATGGGGGTTCAGAGCAATGCTCTGGAGTCCTGTTTCTAACTGAATGAGACACACTACTTCAACTCTTCAGGCCTGGGTTTCTTCGCTGTAGATTGTTGTTAATAATCATACACATCCCTTGTAAGGATTCTGTAAAAACAGCACAGTGCCTAGCGCATTTTGCGTACTAGCCGTTACTACTTTGTTTACGGTGGTGCTGTGTCACCATTCTTTCTGAACATGCCCGGATTCAAGCATTCCACGAAGACGTATCCTTGGGGCCTGCCTGTGCACCCACGATAAATGCGGATATGTGGAAAAGTCTTAGCACCATCCAGCTTCAAGATGAAGGTTAAGGGCTGTGGTATTGGAGCGCGTCAGCTTAGGACGATGGACTCGTCCCTCCTTCCCGCCGTGTCCGTGGCCCGGAAGCGCAGAAAGGAGCCCAGAGGAAGCTTTGGGCAGGGGTTGGAGCCCGTGGACAGCATGTGCCTTGTGTCCTCACCAGGGAGAAAAGAGCATTCTGGCGAGCTGTTGAGAAGGAAGACCCTTCCCCAGAGGAGAACGAGCTGGAGCGGCGGGTGACGCGGGCTGGGCAGGAGAGCTGGGAGGCGGCCAGTTCCGGGCGGGAGGGGAGGAGGCCAGTGCGGAAGGGGAGGAGGTCAGCACCGGCGCAGGGCGGGTGGGGGGCGCTCTGGGGGGGGGTCGGCTCAGCAGCCAACAGGACTCTGAAGCCCAGAGCTCTGGTGGTGTCGCCGCGCGGGACTCTTGGTGCTTTGGTGCCTTGCAGAGGGATGGAGTAGAGACCGGGAGGGCGGTGCAGGCACGGGCGCTCACGCTTTCGGTGGTAATGGAGAGGAAATTCCTGTTCACCCTGACAACACAAAATTATTCCTGATTTTGTATATTGCCTTTTAGTCTATGTTCACATGTGACTTTTATGTAATTGCATCCCATTTTATATTCTGCTTGTAACGTTTAATGCTTTCATAACATTTTTGGTATTTATAATAGCTCTTTATCACGATTAAAAACATTTAAAAAATTTTTATTTTTGAGAGACAGAGTGCGAGTGGGGGAGGGGCAGAAAGAGAGAGACGCAGAATCTGAATCAGGCTCCAGACTCTGAGCTGGTAGCCCCGAGCCTGACATGGGGCTCGAACTCATGAGCGGTGAGATCCTGAGCTGAAGTTGGAAGCTTAACTGACTGAGCCACTCAGGCGCCCCTCTTTATCATTGTTTTTACTTTATTTTATTTTTTAATGTTTATTTTTGAGAGAAAGAGAGAGAGGAGGGGAGGGGCAGAGACAGAGGGAGACACGGAATCCGAAGTAGCTCCAGGCTGTGAGCTATGAGCACAGAGCCTGACGCGGGGCTTGAACCCATGAGCTGTGAGATGATGACCTGAGCTAAAGTTGGATATTTAACCCACTGAGCCACCCAGGCACCCCAATTTATCATCGTTTTTAAAGCTACATGGTACTCCATAATTTTTGTTGTTGTTCATTTATTCCTTGGGGTAGGGTTCAAGAAATCAAATTATTTCAATTTCAACAATTTATATAATTCCTGTTAACATATTGTAATACATCTTTTGAAAGAATTCTTTAGGTGTACGACATGTATTGATTTCGCCCAGCCTTGCCAGTGTGGGTCATCACTACCCAGATGGCATTGTGGAATTCTTAGTTTAAAATTTTTAAGTCATTGGTGAGAGGGGCGCCTGGGTGTCTCAGTTGGTTAAGGATTCAACTTCGGCTCAGGTCATGATCTCGAGGTTTGTGAATTGGAGCCCTGCGTCGGGCTCTGTGTTTATGATTTGGAGCCTGGAGCTGCTTTGGATTCTGTGTCCCCCTTCTTCTCTCTCTACCCCTTCCCTACTTGTGCTTTCTCTCCCTCAAAATAAGTAAATAAACTTGAAAAAAGCAAGTCATTGGATACACTAATATATTTTTCTACCTTTTAAATTTTGTGCCTCTACTCACTCTAGGGGACTTGTCTATGAGGTGTGGCGAACACACATTGCAGCCTGATGCATCTTACACACTCACCCACACCCCCGCACCGTGCCCACGGGACTGCCACCACCATCTTCTCCAGTGCCTGCAGCCTGTTTTGTGAATGTGCCACCATTTACGTGCCCCCTTCTCCTGGGTGTGGACATCTGGGCTCTACCCCGTTGTTGGCTTTTGTGCGTGAGGCTGCTGTGGGCGCTCTGGCGCGTGTGTGTTGTCTGGGTGTCTGTGAGGCACAGAGCCAGCAGTGGCTTCCAGGTTGTAGGCCACATACGTGTGTAATTTTAGTAAGTGCTGCCCCATGCTCTTCCCAGTAATGACTTAATTAATAATGATCAATAGCTTTTAAAATGTGTAACATCCATGGAGGGAGAAAGTGTTTATAAGTAAAATTCCCTCACATGTGGAAAGGAAAAAGTACAATAAACCTTTGCTTTTAAAACAAAGTGATACGTTGGGGCGCCTGGGTGGCTTAGTTAAGTGTCTGACTTTGGCTCAGGTCATGATCTCATGGTTCATGGGTTCGTGACAGCTCAGAGCCTGGAACCTGCTTTGGATTCTGTGTGTGTCCCTCTCTCTCTGCCCCTCCCCTCCTTGTGCTTAAACATGAAGAAAAAATTAAAACGTGACACATCATAGTGGGCCCATGTCTCAGGTTCGTGATCTGTACATTTTGAGCCCACCGTGAAAACTGCACTGCACTGAGTGTGGGAGGAAGTTACTGAAAGTAGTTTTATTTTTTAAAAATGTTTATTTAAAAGTTTTTTAATGTTTTATTTATTTTTGAGAGAGAGACAATGTGAGCAGGGAAGAGTCAGAGAGAGAGGGAGGCACAGAATCTGAAGCAGGCTCCAGATTCTGAGCTGTCAGCACAGACCCTGATGCAGGACTCGAACCCATGAACCATGAGATCATGACCTGAGCTGAAGTTGGATGCTTAACCGACTGAGCCACCCAGACGCCCCTGAAAGTAGTTTTAAAATTAAAGTAACAGGAATGATTTTTAACCCCTTCCCCCAGAAGAGGGGGCGGGTCGAGCGTGCGATGGCTTCACGCCAAGCGGGCCACCCTTGCATTTGGTTTCTCGTGATCCTCCGTCCTCTGTGTGCGTGTGGGAAACTGAGGCACGGGGTTCCACTGGTTTGTGGTGTCGGTGGTGGGATGTGAATCCTGGGTCCAGACCTGTCCCTTAGAGGGGCTGGAAGCCGCGAAGGACAGAGCGAGGCTCGCTGACACAAGTAAAGAGTGTGGGGGCTTTGAGGTGTCGTGGGCACATTCTTTAAAACAGCATTTAACGTTTCATGTTCTGATTGCAAAGTAATGCATATCAATCACACACAAAAGAAGTTAAAGATACAGACAAAGCACAAAGAAGTAGAGGAGAACTTGCCGTCCCCCCGCCTCCAAGTGTTCGCCTCCGGGTTCTCTCCTGGGCTGGGCCTACCTTCTCTTTAAACAAAAACCACACGTAGCATCCACACAGTTCTTTATTCGTTCTTTCCCCTTCGCTCTATGTCATGGGCCCTTTCCCTGGCACTAAATAGTCCTTTATAGCGGGCTGAGTGGCTCCACAGCATGATGTTACAATCAAATACCACAATTTATTTGAACAATTCCCTTTCGCCAGACATTAAGATGACTTCTAATTTTTCATCATGATAATCAATGCCACAGTGAAAGTTCCCGGATGTAAATCTTCATGAAGATCTATTAATATCTTCTTCACGTACATTTATTTTTAAAAGAAATGTTTTATTTTTCTCATTGATGTGGGTACTGATGAAAGCATGAATGTGAAAATCCTTTTATTCGTCTAAAATTTATCTCTAAAAGCATGGCAGTAGCGTATTCACCTTTATGTGGCTAAAACATAATACCGTGACGTTTATATATCGTGTAATTGTTACAGCTGTTGGGCTCCTTTGTGAAAACACTGTAAGATGTGCTGATGTGATGCTGCCTCCCCCCGCCCCCCGTGGCTGCCCAGGCGGGCGGGAGCACAGTCTCAGGTCTCAGGCCTGCTCGGGCAGTGGCTCCCTGCGCCCCACTCTGTGCAGCTGCCTGCAGGGCGGAGGCTCTTGGCTCATTTCTGGAGCCTTGACAGTTCTGGGCCTGATGCTGACCGACTGAGTCACTGGGGGACGACTTCAGGTGTCTTGTTTCTTTAGGGCTGGGGCAGCGTTGCGTAGTTGCCATCTTAAACACTCCTCTGCGGGTTTCCAACTTGTCTCTGGAGAAGAGCAGTCAGGTGAACTCACAGGAGTGTGTGCTACCAGCGTGGTAAGAAGAGCAGTTAGTTACAGGAGGTAAAGACACATTTGATTATTCTCTGCGATGGCCATGTTCAGTTAAAGCTCACGGGAGTAGAGTCCTGACATGCTCTTTTATTGCCTTTGTAGATCCACATCATAGATTTTGATGACGAAAATAACATTATCAATAAGAACGTCCTCCTGCATCAAGTGGGTGAGATCTGGCACATTAGTGCCAGTCCTGTGGACAAAGGCGTGCTGGCCACCTGCTACAATAAGCGTGAGTATTCCCAGGTGTCCCCCTGCGGGCGCGAGGTCGGCCTCACGGCGCTCGGGGGCCAGCGCACCGTTTACGAGATTTGCTGCCCTCCCAGGGAAGTCGTGCTCCTGCGGGCGGAAGCGCGCAGCGGCTGATATGACCCAGATCTAAGGGTGGAGGCTGGCGTCCCGGCTGGTCCCGGCGCTGTGACCCCGTGGGGCAGGACAGGGATGTGCGGGGGGTGCCCGAGGGGCAGAGGTCGGTGTGCCCCTAGGGTAGTTAACTGTGCTGCTCAGAATGGTCGCTGGCTTGTGCCTCGTTGCCCGCGTACTCGTGCGCGCACGCGTGTATGTGTGCGTGTGTGACCACCGTTAAATGGCAAGGAGACTGCGGGACAGTCGTCTTCGGTAGCGCCTGCCCCCCGCACAGCGCACGCGTGTGTTGGGTGTCCGCGCTCCTCGGTGAGCTTCCGCCTGGCCTGCTGTTGGGCCCTCCCGTCTCTGGGACCTCCGACACTTGCGGACATCTGTGACGCCCAGCTGGCCGCGCGTCTCCTTCATTCTCCTTTCTCTGTCATTGTCAGTAACTAGTGTCCAAATTTCAGCTTTGGGGAAGAACCCCACATTCCGTGTGTCTCTGTAATCCAGAATAAAGTGTGTTTCGTGCTGTGTGCGCTCTATGCCGTTTCCCTCGTTCATCCAGCGCGCTGGCAACTCGTAAGCAGCCTGCAAGCTCCTGCCCCACGCTGCGCCCCCGCTTCCCTTCCTGCCCCAGCCGCGGGTGTTGCCGTGTGGGGCTGTCATCCCCAGGTCCCGCTTCCAGAAACCTCTGCTTAGATCGTCTGCCCCCACGGGTTCCCCGTAGGGGTCTTTCTGTTGGACTTCACTTCTACCTTTGTTTAATACTTCTTTTCGTCAGGGCAAAAAGTTGTTTTCTGAAAGGTCTTTTCCCCCTGAGCCCCTTACGTTCTTTCTCTCTCGTTCTTGCCTTCGACTTGCCTACTTGCCCTCCTCCTCCAAGAGCAGCCTCCTGGGGCCCGCCCTGACCTTGTCCACCCCCTCCCGGCCCCCCCACCATCATCAGTGCTGGGCTTGGTGCCTCTTGTTCCCGTATCCCAGGCCGCAGTCATCGTGTCAGCCGGCTGTGACAGAGGCCATGCTGCTGCCCGGAACCCTCTGGAGCGCATGTGGGATATACTTATATCCCTGCCCCCATCCCCCTGCGCACTTGGTGTCCAGGGTCTGAGCGTGTGCCTGTGACGGCCCGGTGCCATTCCGTGTTCCGTGTAAGGCTGGCTGTCCCTGCATGTGGCTGCAGGTCCATTGTCCCCCCGCCACCCAGGACCGTACCCCCCCCCACAGTGGCAGCCTGCCTTGGCTGGAGGTTGCTAGAAGTTTCTGCAAATGAGAATAGGGTGCTCCTCTTCTAGAAAAGTGACTTTCAAAAGGGGACCAGTTCCCCTCCCGATTAACGTAAGCTCAGCCGACCTTCATTTTACTCCCCACCCCTTTGCCTCTGCTATCCGACACAGCTGTGTCGCGGGAATGCTGGCCGGGCACTGGAACTGTATGTCGTCGCTTAGAAGCCGGTCATTGACCTTGCCCGCACTCGTGGGGAGCAGGCTGCAAGAATGTGTCACGCTGTGGTGGCCGTCACGCACCCCTGGCGTACGTGAGCAGTGCCTGCCGCCCAGGGGACCCTCACCTGGGCAAAGCACAGTCGTCACCTCAGACCCTCGGCCACAACGGCCCCAGCTCGGGCACGGGGACCAGCATGGGGTCAGCTCTCGGTGTGCTTGTGGCTCCCGGGTGTAATTGGCCATTGGGTCAGTGTCTGAGACACGTTCCTCTCCATCTGTGGCCCGTGAAGCTGTGATGTCACCTGCCTGTCACAGGCGCTGGTACAGGTGTGGGGTAACAGCTGTTGGCACTGCATTTACAGGGGAGGGTTGGCGCTGGAAGCTGCCGCTGGCCGTGGCTGCTCCTCAAGGCAGACACCACTGGAGGGCCTGGGGTGGCTTCGGCCTGGCGCCCGTTACTGCCACCCTGCGGGCTCTAGGGCCTGCACCCCGGCTCCCTCCCCACTTCGTGGAGCTGGGGGCACGTGGGCCGGGGACCGCGCCAGCCTGTCCCTGTGTCCGGTGCGAGCTGGCAGGTGAAGCAGGTTCCAGCTCTGTCTGACCACGCTGTACGCAGACGCCTTCCTGAGCCGGGCCTTCTCCGCCGTGGACCGGCAGAGGGCAGGAGGCCCTCCCCCGTCCCTGCACCCTCCAGCCTCCTGAACGGGCCCTTCCTGTCGCTGTGCTCTGGCCTGTTGTCTCCTCAGGACGGGGAGAGCGTTGGGCGGCCCACTCGAGCCCCTTAAGTATGTTCCTGTGGGCGACGCTCGAGCTGTTAGCACCTGCTCCTCCCAGCGGGCCGAGTGCCTCACGGCGCGAATCCGGCTTCCTCTGTGCTCCCTGTGGCCTCCTTCAGCTCCTTCTCTCCTGTCTTCGATCCGCAGGAAGACACAGACCTGGCTTCTGTGATCTCCCGGGGCTCCTGCACACACAGCCCACCACGCTACTTCCGTGTCTGCCACAGCAGAGCTAGCTTTCTGCTGCCTTGTAACAACGACCCTCTGTCTTTCCAGAATGTTCTCCCCTGGGCCTCTGCTGGCAGTATCATGTGTGCCCACGTCTTCTAGCAGGTGCAGGAGAGCGTGTCCCGCCCCGGCGTTGTGCGTGCAGAGTCATCCAGCGGGTGCAGGAGAGCGCGTCCCGCCCCGGGGTTGTGCGTGCAGAGTCTTCCGGCGGGCGCAGGGGAGCGCGTCCCGCCCCGGGGTTGTGCGTGCAGAGTCTTCCGGCGGGCGCGGGGGAGCGCGTCCCGCCCCGGGGTTGTGCGTGCAGAGTCTTCCGGCGGGCGCAGGGGAGCGCGTCCCGCCCCGGCGTTGTGCGTGCAGAGTCTTCCGGCGGGTGCAGGATGGCATGTCTCGGTGCCCGGTGTCTTGTTTGTGGCTACACAGGAAGGTGCCATGGACATGGCACGTTGTCCCACTGCACGGCCCCCGTGGTCACGAGGCAGCTCGGCCTTGCGGGCCCTCTGTCGGGGCCTCAGGGCTGTGCCCTGGGTGTCGGGTCCTCTTCCTGGCAGAGCCGGGTCCTGGGTCCCGGGTGTAGATGGGAGCTGGCCATCAGCGGGCTGTGAGCAGCTGTTGGGTTAAGCCACCAAGCTGGTGGTGGCCTTGCCCCGGTTGTCACAGGCTGGGTAGGGCACGTCTTGATTTGTAGTCAGGGCCTCCAGGAACCACAGCTCCGTGCTGGTGGCCAGCCCTTCCGTGACCTGCTTGCCTCACCCGTCAGCGTCTCTGGGAAGAAAGACCGTCTCGTGGTGTTCATGGCCAAGTGCTAAGAGCTCAGCTGTCTCCCACCACAGGCCGGGCTCCGAGGTTTCAGTCCCGCGGGGGGTGGGGGGGCCTCATTCCCTTAGAGAAATGCCGCAAACGCTCTCCGTCCCCCCGACAGAAGGGAGCTGCCCGGCCGCCTCCTCGCGCGGCCCCGGCTCCTTGCCCTCTGCAGCCTGTCCTGGTTACCCGTGATCCGCAGCCGCTCGTCCGCTCCGGGAGGAGGCCCAGCCGGCTTCGCCTGGGCGCCCGCGGAGCAGCTCAGTTGGGACGCCAGCTTGCCACGGGGGCTTCGTGCCCAAGGAGGCTGCAGAGCGGCTGCACATGCTTGCCCGTGGACGCTTGCGCTCCAAGCTCCTGCCAGCCGTGAGGCTTCCACGCCGCGTGCATTGCGTGTGGCTTGGACACGAGGTGTCCCGGACTTGGGTGAAAGTGTTCAGTTGCACCGTGCCCTGCGCCCCCCCGCAGGCTTGTCTTGTACCGCGCTGTCCCCCCTCCGCGCCTGGGTGGTTGGGGGCTCTGCGCAGGGGTTACCTGGTGTCCCTGTCGTGTTCGTCCCCGGCCATGTTTGTAAACGCCGCAGAGACGCACCTGCCCCGCCCGGCTCGGCCCTCTTCGCTTCCTGTTGGTCGGCACCACCCTGTGGGCAGCAGTTGTGCTTCCAACCGAGAGACGGGGCCTCGGAGTCCTGTGTCCCGCGTCCTGGGTTTTCCCGCCAGTGGAGGGGCTGCTGGGGCAGGGGTGGGGAGGAGGGCCCGCGGGCAGGGGTGGGTGGGGAGGGGGCCCCCCGGAGGGCAGGGGTGGGGAAGGGGCCCGGGGGCAGGGGTGGGGAGCAGGTCCCAGGCGGGAGGGACCAGTTTCTAGCAGAGAATCGTCCTGGGTTAAAGCTGTTGTCCCTGTCACTCGTGTCCCCAAACTCATTCCCTGTGGATGTAACTGGGGGAGGAGGAAGGCACGGGGGGCCTGTGTGCAGCGCGGGGAAACGGAGCCCGCTTTGCGAGGAGTCTCGGCACCGTGAGTGTTGTGAACAACTGTTGTAAGTTACATGCACGTAGTGCAGCGTGCAACACACGTCTCTGAATTGGTGGAAGTCTTCACTGTGGTAGAACTGTGTGCGTGCATGAATACACACATGTACTCACACACACGGTACACACACACTCTCACGTGGCACAGTCACACGGCACACACACTCCTCACACAGCACACATACACACACACACTCCTACAGGGCACATTCACATGGCACACTCACACTGGGACATCACAACAGCCTTGTAAATAAACGTGTAGAATCGGATTAACTCGCAGCTCATTTTAAAAAATGCAGATGAGGAAATTCCCTGCGTACCTTTTCTTGACGTACCCAGGAGGGGCGCTAAACCCCAGTGCTAGTACAACCTGTGTAGCCACTGCCTGCAGGCAGAAGCTTCTAGAATTACATTCTCTTCACACCTTCCATCCGAGAAAATGCTCATGGACTGGCTGCAGGGTAACGTGACGTAAACACTGACGCTCCTCTGGGACGGGCCCGCACCCACCATGCTGGCTTCCGTCCGTGTTGTGTAGGAGCAAGCAGGGGCGTGGGGGGTGGGGGGTGGACAGTCACGGATGGTCGGTAGGGAGCTGTGGCTGCCGTG